AGATGGGGATGATGATAAGGTAAATATATTTGAAGTATGAGGTTGATCCCTTAAGAAATAAAGAAGAAACAGTAAGAAATAGTATTTTTTAAGGAAAATTCTAAGTTCAAGGGGAGATAAATCTGTAAATATTGGTGCTAGAGTTATGAACCTTGTCACATAAGATGTGGTTGATGATAAAGAACATATATTTGAAGTTTGAAGTTGATACCTTAAGAAATGACAAAGTTATAGTGAAAAATATTTTACTGCACCAAAACTTTAATCTAAAATCTGGACGCGGACGCCGACGCCGGGGCGAGTAGGACAGCTCTCCATATACTTCGTATAGTCGAGCTAAAAAGGGAAGAAAAATCAGCCTAAATGCAAGATAGAATTACGGATCTTTGTCAGTGACCTACAATTCTGATATTAATTGCATATGTGAAGTTTTAAATAAATATCTTTAATAGTTATTGAGATATGTAAAACTTGCATGTAAACATTAACCAAGAGACTAAGTAGAAAAGGGGATATGAATCAGCCTTAATGCAAGATAGAGTTATGGAACTTGGTCAGTGACATACAATTATGACCCTCAAATTATGACCCTAAGTACATGTGTAAAGTATCAAGTAAATATCTTTGAAGACCTTTAACCTTTAACCAAAATTTCTAAGTTTCAAAGGGGCAAATAATTCTGCAAATATTGCAGACAGAGTTATGCAATTTTGCAAAATGATGTACATTGTTACTATAAAAAAGTATTGTAAATTTCAATTGAATATCTCAAGCAATAATTGAGATATTTGACTTTACAAAAAAACTTTAACCAAAATTTCTAAGTTTCAAAGGGGCATAATTCTGTCAATATTGTAGGCAGTGTTATCCAACTTGTCAATCTGATGTACCTTGTTACTATAAATAAGTATTGTAAGTTTCAATTGAATATCTCAAACAATAATTGAGATATTTGACTTTACAAAAAACTTTAACCAAAATTTCTAAGTTAAAAAGGGGCATAATTCTGTCAATATTGTAGGCAGAGTTATCCAACTTGTCAATCTGATGTATCTTATTACTATAAATAAGTATTGTAAGTTTCAATTGAATATCTCAAGCAATAATTGAGATATTTGACTTTACAAAAAACTTTAACCAAAATTTCTAAGTTAAAAAGGGGCATAATTCTGTCAATATTGTAGGCAGAGTTATCCAACTTGTCAATCTAATGTATCTTATTACTATAAATAAGTATTGTAAGTTTCAATTGAATATCTCAAACAATAATTCAGATATTTGACTTTACAAAAAACTTTAACCAAAATTTCTAAGTTAAAAAGGGGCATAATTATGTCAATATTGTAGGTAGAGTTATCCAACTTGTCAATCTGATGTACCTTGTTACTATAAATAAGTATTGTAAGTTTCAATTGAATATCTCAAGCAATAATTGAGATATTTGACTTTACAAAAAACTTTAACCAACGCAGACGCCGACGCGGACGCGGACGCCGGGGCGACTACAATAGCTCTCATATTCTTCGAATAGTCGAGCTAAAAACTTATTTAACAAGGGTGCCATAGTCACAAAATACGCCCGTTTACGAAAAAGCTTTAGATGGAGATGGGGGCATTATGGATAAGTGTTATCTAGCAAGCAAGTTTTTATTCTTGGCACTGTGTTGTTAAATGAACCTTAAAACAAATCAATAGGGAAGATATGCACAGAATGTGTGACCTTGACCTTGGTCGCAGGGACCTGAATTTTATGCACGGCACTCAGCCTCACAATGATGAACATTTGTGCCAAATTATATTGAAATCCCTCTATGCATGTAGAAGTTTTGCTCCAGACAAGTGTTTTTCTATGAGCTCTAACTGTGACCTTCATCTTTGACCTAGAGACTTGGTTTATGTGCAGGGCACTACGTCTCATGGTGGTGAACAATTCTATAAAAGTAACATTAAAATTCCTCCATGCATGTAGAAAATATGCTCCGGACAACATCTGGATATTTAATCATCTCCAGTGACCTTGACCTTGCAAATATTAACCTAAATTAAATGTGTAACACCTGTAGTCATGATAGTTACCATTTGTGCTACAATCCATCAATAAATGATGACTAAATGGTCCCTATAACCATCTTCAAATTTTTATCTGAACTTTGACCTCTATGTGTAACCTTGACTTTGGTCGCAGGGATCTGAATTTTGCATGCGACACTCAGCCTCACAATGGTGAACATTTGTGCCAAAATATATTGAAAACCCCCTATGAATGTAGAAGTTTTGCTCCGGACAAGCGTATTTCAATGAGCTCTAAGTGTGACCTTGACCTTTGACCTGGAAACCTGGATCATGCATGGAGCAATACATATCATGGTGGTGAACATTTCCATAAAGTATTATAAAAATTCTTCCATACATGTAGGAGATATGCTCCAGACAAAATCTGGATATTTCACCATCTTTAGTGACCTTGACCTTGCATATATTGACCTAAAGTACATGTGTCACATCCGTAGTCATTATAATGACCATTTGTGTTACAATCCCTCAATAAATGATGATTAAATCGTCCCTATACACATCTTCATATTTTTATCTTTTTTTAAACGGGCGTATAAAAAGTACATGTAATTTAATAACTAAAAAATTCTGATTTAAGATTTTATTCTAGGGATACATTTCATTACAATTCTTAATCTTTGAATGAGCTGAACTGATATTTACTTGAAAATTAAAATATAATTAAATTTCTATGAGAAAGTATTTACATTTGATAAGGTAATTACTGTATGATCTTTATGAACAAATACCAAGTCTACAGAACACCATAGTTATCACAGTTAAGAATCTTGACCAATGAATGAAACATGTGTAAATAAATGTTACATTCTTTAGAACATACTCAAGTCCAAGAAAGAGGATTATTTCATGCCTTTTGATTAAATTCTATTTTTAGAATTGAAAGTGAAAATAGATCAAGGGGAGTAATTGTGTAAGTCATTTATGAACAAAGTAATAACTTTGTTGTCTCCCTTTGATTAAATTCTATTTACAAAATCTGGATATTTCATCATCTTTAGTGACCTTGACCTTGTATATATTGACCTAAATTATATGTATCACAGCCATAGTCTTGATAATGACCATTTGTGTTACAATCCCTCAATAAATGATGACTAAATGGTCCATATACACATCTTCATATTTTTATCTGAACTTTGACCTCTATGTGTGACCTTGACCTTGGCTGCAAGGACCTGAATCTTGCACGCGACACTCCGCCTCACAATGGTGAACATTTGTGCCAAGTAATATTGAAATCCCTCTATACATGTGGAAGTTTTGCTCCGGACAAGCATTTTTCAATGAGCTCTAAGTGTGACCTTGACCTTTGACCTAGAGACCTGGTTCATGTGCGCGACACTGCTCCTCATAGTGGTGAACATTTATATGAAGTTTCATTAAAATCCCTCCATACATGTAGGAGATATGCTCCGGACAAAATTGGACGCCGCCCGCCCGCCCGTCCGCCAGGGGCGTTCCCATAATACGTCCCGTTTTTCAAATGGGCGTATAAAAAGTAACACTACATTGTTTTCTGAAGAAAATAAAATATTTCATGAGTCTCTATGATAATTTTGACTTGGATATTTGCATTTATAAAAAGTGTATGTCAGTCCTGTGATCAGCAGAAAATTTCAATGAAATGGGGGGAAATCCACTTTGAAGTCATTTTGCAAAAAATTTGGTTGGCTACCCTTATATAACAGGAACATTTTTATGTGTCAGGCATTTTATTCTGATAGAAAAATCACCTCTTTCATGAAAACTCAATTTTCAGGTAAGATTAGGGACCATTTCTTATAATGTAAGTCTATGGAAATATCAATGTGAGTGTCTGACCTAAGAAACAAAGAAGTTATAGTGAAAAAGATTTTACTGTGTAAAAGCTTTAATTTCTACCTATTGGTTCAAAAGATACAGAGCGAACACAAAATTTTGATATTTATATATACAAAATGATTAAATTTTGATATTGATACAAAATGACTAAGTGTGACCTTGACCGTGTTTTTGACCATAGATAGGTCAAACTTGCGCACTGCATATCGTCTCACTATGGTTAACATTTCTTCCCAGTAGTTTCAATTTCTCTCCACTGGTTCAAAAGATACAGACGGGAGACGAAAACTCCTATATAAGTCTATATAAATCAATTAATCCCCAGGGCAGGGCCAATTTTGATCTTAGGATGTCCAAACTTTTGATCTGCACACCATCTCAATATAAGTAATATTTCTGTAAAAAAAGTTTTAATTCATTTTTATCGGTTCAAAAGATACAGAGCAGACAAAAAATTTTGATGCTGATACAAAATGAGTAAGTGTTACCTTCACCCGAGAAAGGTCAAACCTGCACTCTGCACATTATCTCATTAAGGTTAACATTTCTGCCAAGTAGTTTCAATTTCCTTCCACCATTTCAAAAAAAATACAGACCGGACATGAAAACCTGCTAACAGACGGAGGAGGGCCTGACAGACAACCAGATGCATAACAATATACACCGAAATTCTTTCTGGCATATAACAAAGTTATAGCCACTAAGGGCAGTCAGCAAAAATCAAGCAAAATTTAGACATTTGACCTTGAAGGTCAAGGTCATTTATTGAAAGTCAAGTTTAGTCTGGTCTACTTGAAGGTCTTGTTCCAATCTTTGTTGTGGCCAAACATAAAGACAATCTACCAACAACTTAAAAAGTTATGATCAAGGTTAAAAGTTTGTAGACAGGAACTGAAACATCTCCATGACAGTAACAATAACTCTATTGTTTTCCTTAGAAAAAAAAAGTTAAACTAAAACTGAATTTCAATTCAATCAAGCTACATTGTGGATGCTGAGAAATAGTATAAAGAAAATTGTAATACATGTAGCTCTTTATTTCTTTGCAATTTTTGGTAATATATTGGTCAGTTTATCAACTTGTGTAGAACATATCAACTTACAGTGAACTCTCCAGTCAGGGGATCAAATCCAACATGAACTGTATGCTCAAAGTTGAGTGGTGGTGATATGACTGGTTTGTCTGCATCTCTGATTCTAGTCATCTTGTTACCTATAAAATCAAAGAGAATAAAACTGTCATTGAAAACAGACACTTTTAATGCCCCTAAGTAGAGCTAAGTAGAGGAACCATGACCTTTGCCTTGCATCAAAGGCATGGTTACTATAACAAGAGGGTCAATAGCCACAATGCACCCACCTGAGGATATATTGTTATATGTGTAAAAGCAGTGAAAGCTAGTGTTTGCAAGTACAAATGTTGCTGCAATGCAGCAATTGAAAAGCTCCGCGCAAAAAATGCGCTCATTACAGATATCTAACCAAATTATTCCTACGCACAGGTCATGTTATATTCATATTAAGTTCTATTTTAGATTTTTTCCAAATGTTTTGTAAATCATTTTTTGCATAATTATACTTATCTTATGCACTGTCCATAATTAAAAAGAGGGGCCAGATATTTAATTTGAAAAAATGCTTTCACTGATGCCTACTTGGTAAGGAAAGTATATATAATTCCATTGAATACAAACAAGACTTACAAGACTTGTAAATGTTATGTGACATGACTGTACTGTGTTCTGTTTGTGTCACTACGGTAGTCAGTAACATAAGATGATAAAAGTATCAAAGTCTAATTTTTTATTATTATAATTGTAACAAATATACAAATAGTAACAAAAGGGACTAATATTTTAATATAGTAATATTACATGCATTTTTTCATGTCAAATTAAAAAAAAATGGTTTCTTTCAATACTGATAGAAGACTGTTACCTGAATTTTAGGCAGTCAGAGGTAATTCACTATGCGAGTCAAAGATATAAAAGCTACTTGACATTGGTGATATATAAAAACCTATTATTAATTGATTTATTGGGAGATCAATATACTTTTTTGCTGAATTGCTTTAAAACCATTCATAAACAAGAACCGGTTGAACCGGGTGATGCTCCCCGAGAAGGTTCTGGACACAGGAAAGTATAAAAAAAATGAACAAAGGGCAAAAACTCCAAAATTAGGCAAAGCGGAGTTATGTTTTTTTGCACTGCACTTCTATTCAATGAGATCTATCTATCTATAAAGTTTCCTGATGATATCAGAGTTATGTCCCTGGTAAAAGTCAAAGTGTAAAAATGAACAAAGGGCAATAACTCCAAAATTAGACCAGGCTTTGTTTAGGTTCTTTAAGCATTGCAGTTCTATCCAATTATATCTAGCTACCTACAAAGTTTCATGTTGATATCTCTAATAGTTTTAAAGTAATGTCCAGGACAAAAGTCAAAAAGTAAAAATAAACAAAGGGCAATTACTTCAAAATAAGGCAAGGCAGAGTAATGATTCTTAAGCACTGCACTTCCACCTAATGAGACCTATCTATCTACAAAGATTCATGTTGATATCTCTTATAATTTTAGAGTAATGTCCCAGACAAAGTTCAAAGTGTCAAAATGAACAAAGGGCAATAACTCCAAAAGTAGGCAAGACAGTGTTACAGTTCTTGTGCACTGCAAACTTACTCAATGAGATCTATCTACCTACAAAGTTTCATGTTGATATCTCTTATACATTAAGAGTTATGTCCCGGACAAAGTTCAAAGTGTAAAATAAACAAAGGGGGATAATTCAAAAATGAGACAAGGCAGAGTTACGGTTCTTGTGCACTGCACACCTACTCAATGAGATCTATCTACCTACAATGTTTCATGTTGATACCTCTTATACTTTTAGAGTTATGTCCCGGACAAAGTTCAAAGTGTAAAATAAACAAAGGGGGATAATTCAAAAATAAGACAAGGCAGAGTTACAGTTCTTGTGCACTGCACACCTACTCAATAAGATCTATCTACCAACAAAGTTTCATGTTGATACCTCTTATACTTTTAGAGTTATGTCCCGGACAAAGTTCAAAGTGTAAAATAAACAAAGGGGAATAATTCAAAAATCAGGCAAGGCAGAGTTACAGTTCTTGTGCACTGCACACCTACTCAATGAGATCTATCTACCTACAAAGTTTCATGTTGATACCTCTTATACTTTTAGAGTTATGTCCCGGACAAAGTTCAAAGTGTAAAATAAACAAAGGGGAATAATTCAAAAATTAGGCAAGGCAGAGTTACGGTTCTTGTGCACTGCACACCTACTCAATGAGATCTATCTACCTACAAAGTTTCATGTTGATACCTCTTATACTTTTAGAGTAATGTCCCAGACAAAGTTCAAAGTGTAAAATAAACAAAGGGGGATAATTCACAAATTAGGCAAGGCAGAGTTACGGTTCTTGTGCACTGCACACCTACTCAATGAGATCTATCTACCTACAAAGTTTCATGTTGATACCTCTTATACTTTTAGAGTTATGTCCCGGACAAATTTCAAAGTGTAAAATAAACAAAGGGGGATAATTCAAAAATTAGGCAAGGCAGAGTTACAGTTCTTGTGCACTGCACACCTACTCAATGAGATCTATCTACCTACAAAGTTTCATGTTGATACCTCTTATACTTTTAGAGTTATGTCCCGGACAAATTTCAAAGTGTAAAATAAACAAAGGGAGGTAATTCAAAAATTAGGCAAGGCAGAGTTACGGTTCTTGTGCACTGCACACCTACTCAATGAGATCTATCTACCTACAAAGTTTCATGTTGATACCTCTTGTTGTTTCAAAGGTATGTCCCGGACAAGAAAAGGGGAAGGGACGGACTTACCAAAATTTGATGTTTATGAGGCAAATGAGCTCATAAACACCACCTGGACCAACGTCCATAAGCAAAATAAGCTCATAAAAGCAAAAAAATAGCTCTTAATTTCAATTTAATGAGTTTATGTTCTTTATTTAACTACGGAATGAGGCTCATAATAATCAAATGTTGGCTCGGACGGACGGACGGCCATTCCTACTGAGTTGACATTATGGGTTTTTTTCTTTGATCTCCTTTGATCTCTAAAACCCCATAAGCAACGTATTTGCACCCCATAAGCAACCTTTTCCCCCACAAGTACCGTCTGTACGGATTGAACATGGATATTCACCCCACACCGTCATTTCAGTGAGAGTGGAAAGACGGACGGACAAGGCGGCGACTATATGCTCCCCCGAAATTTTTTCGGGGAGCATAAAAACAAGCAATTATCATAGTATTGCAAGCAATCCATAAGTCCCCTACCGGTTAGAACCCCACCAACATTCTGAAGGCCAATGGCCATTCACTTATGTTTCTACGGTATTTGAAAAAGTTCTTTAAAAGTGATCACAGGAAACAGTTTTTATGTACAGACAGACGGACTGAAGGACACTCTAAAGTTATTTTCTGAAACATCCCTGTTATCAAATTAAAACATTTTTAAAAGCAAAATTCTTAAAAAGGCGATAACTCTTGAAATAAAGATGCAAGACGTCATACATGATGTGAGTGTAACAAAGAACAATTAGTAATGAAGGTGTTGAAAATGAATGTTTATTTTGAATTTGAAGTTAAAGAAAGTAAAAAGTATGAATAAGAAACATTCAAAGTTTAAGGAGGAGATAATTCTGGAAATATGAATGCTAGATTTATAAACCTTGTCATATTATTATGATGTGGGAGTTTGAAGAACATCCTATAATGATTGAAGAAGTTGGAGTAAAAATTACCATTTCTCGAAAAAAAGTCTAAGTTCAAAAGGGGCATAATTCTGAAAATGGAATTGCTAGAGTACTGAACTTTCTCACAAATGTTTAGTGGTAATAAGAAACATATTTATGAAGTTTGAAGTAGATACATTAAGAAATAAAGAAGTTATTATAAAAAAAAGAAAATTCTAAGTTCAAGGGAGGAAATTCTGATAAATTTTGTGCTAGAGTTGTAAACCTTGTCACATATGATGTGGAAGAAGATACCTTAAGAAACAAAGAACTTATAGTGAAAAAAACGTAAAAACTAGAATCAGAAATTTTGAAATTCAGTTGTTGTCATAGCAACCAGAATTTTCTACATAGGAAGAAAAGAAAAGGATCTGCATAATCTCCAGACTGCAATCTACCCATATTTCAAGTTTCATAAAAATATTACCAGTACTTTTTGCGTTATCACTGAATACAGGTTATGTGTAAAATTTGCCATATTTTCAGGCTATTTGTTGCCATAGCAACCAGAATTTTAAATGCAGGAAGAAAAGAAAAAGACATGCATAATCTCCATACTGCCATCTATCTATATATCAAGTTTCATAAAAATATTTTCATTACTTTTTGCGTTATTGCTGGATCCAGTATTGTGGACTGACGGACGGACGGACGGACTGAGGGTAAACTTAAAGTCCCCTCCGGTAAATGGGTAGGGGACTATAAACAATACACCTCATGTTCAATCTGCAGATTAAAGTTTCTGTTGTTACCAATGATACGATCTATCTATCTATAGTTTATGCTTAATGAGGGTCCATCCGCCCCTACGGGGATAAAATGGTACGGACCCCGGACATGTCACCACTCATGCCCTTGAAGAGTTAATTTTGAAGCACAAAGTGTTGATAATTTACCTCCGTGCATCACCAATAATAACAATGAAATGTAACTTTATATACTAAAGTTATAATTATTTCAAAACAACCAATATATCAACATGTTATTATTAAACATTTAGTTTCATAAATATAAATTAAGAATAATTATCAAAAGCAAAATTATTAAAGTCTTTTGCCTGAAATCTTCATTATATTATCAAATTCAATCACTAATAGTATACTTGATATTCTGTGTGTAAATGTAATTCAAAGTGTAACAAATTATAATTACATGTACTACTTAAAAAGGGAAATAACAAATTTATAACCTAAGTGTCAAAAATCAGAACATTTATAGCTATTTATAGCTTTCGAATTCATGTACAGCAGAACTGCTGTCAGGTTCTCATTCATTAATATGAAACGCTGCGAATCACCGAAGGGGGAACCAATATAATAATCGAAAGGAGTTATTAAATCGGAATTTATTTTAAGCTGTAAATCGAAGGGATTAATTCATAAAATCCGGGCCCATGGACAAAAAAAAAAGTAAACACAAATAGCTCCGCGCCTGTGGGCGCGGAGCAATTACAAGAATTTAACAGATGTTAGTCACATCCAGAGAGTAGGTCACTAGGTCAATATCTAGGTCATTTGATATCAAATTTCTGTTATACACCTGAAATTGTGCACTTGGTCAAAATATGATACCAAGAAGGCCATGATGGCCTTGAAATCGCTCACCTCAACATAAGTACGCTCCAAAACAAAGAACAAGTAATATTGCAAATTATAAACAAAAGCAGATATAAAATCTAAATCTTACAGAGCCACTGCTAGGTGGGGGCAATGCTCGACTTTTTACTTTTTCAAAAGCAAACAAATAAACAGTTTAAACAAATCTTAAACAAGAGGGCCATGATGGCCTTTATATCACTCACCTGATTACTGAGGCTCTCAATCAATATTGTTAGCAATGAATGAAAGGCAGACATAATGCATAAACTTAAACTGATATCATAAATAGAGGATATTGAATGAGTGTAAGTTCAATACTGAATTTATTGCACGAGTTGAATAAAATTATATTATGCGAGCCTCTGGTGAGCTTAATATTATTTTATTCAACGAGTGCAATAAATTCAGTAATGAACTTACACGAATTTAATATTCTATTTATCACATTCCCAAAATAAAGACCGTTTAAAGAGAAATAAGCGTCATTTTGCATTGACGCGCCTACAGTATAACGCTAACATTTAGCGCGTCTTTACACTATGTTTGTATAACGCTTAATGACATCACGTCAAAATATATGCACGGCCGTGCAATACCATATTTACGGAGTCGCAAAATCGGCACAGGTGTGTGATAAAGTTCATATCTACACCTGAAATAGTGCAGATGTTAATAAGGTTTTTCCATTATTTCTTTTTGATTTTGACCATGGATGACCAATTTTCAAAACTAAGCTAGAAATCATCAAAACAATATGACATATTGTCCAGAATGTAAACAATATTTTTCCATAATTTGGGTTGTGTGATCTAGTTTTTGACCCCAGATTATGCACATTACCAAGAAACCATCTGAACAACCTGGCTAATTTCCAGGATATATTTTTACCTAAACAGTATTCCTAAACAGTGTTAGCAAGGTTCCTCCATATTTGGGCTCTGTTACCAAGTTTTCAACCAGAGATGAACTTATAATATTTGAACTTGAGCTGGAAATCATACAAACAACTTTTGACCAATCTAGGATATTTGGACCAAAACATATGCTGTAAAGTGTTAATGAGGTTTTTCAAAATTTGGGCTGTATAACATAATTTTTGACCCAAGATGGCCCATATTTGAGCAAAAAATCATTTTAACAAACTTTCTAACAAATTTCCAGGATATTTGGACCAAAACAGTAGCCTGTCTAAAGTGTCAACAAGGTTTTTCCATTTGGACTGTGTGACCTAGTTTTCAATCCCAGATAACCCATATTTGAAACTGCCCTAGAAAACATCAAAACGACCTTTCTTACCACTTTCATTTGAAACAGTAGTCTCTAGAGTTTTTTACCTATGCACCCCCCCCCCCCCCAGAGTGGGGCCAATATTGACACTAGAGAAAAACTTTGTGAGAGGACATATAGATAATATCATTTACCAAATATCAAAGATTTTAAAGTTTTTACTATCTATACATAATGAAAATCAATGACCTGACCAGCAGGACGGCCAATTTTGACCCCAGGACTTTTATTTGAACAAAATTGGTGAGACACTTTCTAGAAGATGTTTCATGCCAAACATCTTAACTCTAGCTCTTTGGGTTTTTTCAAAGAAGATTTTTTAAGTTTTTTCTTCGGTTGCCATGTCAACCAGAGTTCTGCATGGAATTAAATTCTTTTAACAATTTTAAAAGGTGACCACCAAATGAACATTCCTGTGAAGTTTGGATGAAATTGGCTTTGTGGTTTATGAGGAGATGTCGTTTAAAGTAAAAACTTACAGCTGGACAGAAGATGGATGGACGGAGGGGCACCTGACGAATTGTGATCACAAAAGCTCACATTGTCACATTGAGACAGGTGAGCTAAAAACGGTTATGATCAACGACAGCAATGGGAACACCAACATAATTATAACAATACCTCTCATTTGTTTCTTTTGAAAAAAAAAGTTGACTGTAATATGAAAGTGTTTTAATAACATTATTACAAAATTATAGTTTTCATATACAATTTTTTCAATAATATGATTTTGTATTTCAAAACTGTACATATTGAGCACTATAGAATTTTGACAATTGGTGAGAAATTATCCTTTTATTTCTTTGTTAAATACAATATACATGCTATATTTCAATTGAGAAACAGGAACTTAAACTATACCTCTGGTATTTTTTTTATCAAATCCGAATTAATTACTAGCATCTCCCTGCAAATTTATGACAACATTTTACTAATATTCAGTGCATGGATTTGCTGTTCAAAAAAAATTCATAGTGGTATAATGATACAGTTTTCCGCTACGCGAAATGTGCATGGATCATAACTACAATAATTAGGGCCGGGAACGTCAATAAGGAATTTGATGTTCGAATATTCGTTTTCCATGTCCTAATATATTCGAATATTTGTTTTTACAAAATTTGTTATATATTTCTCTTTTCCATAGTATCCAAAATTGATTAGGTCGAACACTATACAACTTCAATATGCTTGGAAAAAACGACAATTAAGAAATACATTTTTTACTATGTCAAAGTTTTTTGTTTTATTGATTGATTTATCGATATGTATGTTTATATTCTTACATTCGGAATAAAATCATAATTTGATTGTCTTTTGTTCCGTTTATCTGGCTGCTGATCATTTGTCTTATTAATGGGAGGTAACTCTTGTGACTAGACTGAATCATCAACAAGCTGTAAGATTTGTTTATTGAAATTAAACTTGTATTAAACATTTTCTAATTTATTTATAATTTTAGATAATGTATAAAACATTCTAATAATAAATTTAGCTATATCACAGTAATTATCACATGGAGTCTTAATTTCTATGAAATAATTATCTTCAGACAGAATATAGACCTACACCGTGAACGTGTAATAAAGCATCTTAAAACATGTATGTTTTTACCTAAAATTAAGACAATAATCGATTTATCAGAAAGATTAAAGCACAGAAAACAACAAGAGCTGTCGGTAGGACAGCACGCTCGACTATTCTAAGTGCTTGATAGTAAAAGAGCCTTGATAATGTTAAATTTTTTAAGTTCACAAACGGGCTATTTTTTTTTTTTTTATAAATTCATGTTATAGGCCTTAGAGAGAGTCTAATTATACAGTATTGGCTTGACTATTCTGAAGGTAATGTCACAAGGGTGTTTTATTGAGTATAATAATATTAATTACCTATGAATACATAAATTTGACAGAAAAGGTACAAAGGCTTGTTATTAAGATGTTTTATCAAGTAAATCACTGCTTTATTATTATGAATGCATAAAATTGTCCCAAAAAGGCACAAACCCTTCAGTAGTTATTGAGATAACAGCTTACAAGCAAAACTTTACCATGAATTTCTAAGTTGAAAAAGGGTAGAAAAGTCAGCCTAAATGCAAGATAGAATTATGGATCTTTGTCAGTGACCTACAATTATGACCCTAAATGCATATGTGAAGTTTTAAATTAATATCTTTAATAGTTATTGAGATATGTAAAACTTGCATGTAAATATTAACCAAGAGACTAAGTAGAAAAGGGGATATGAATCAGCCTTAATGCAAGACAGAGTTGTGGAACTTGGTCAGTGACATACAATTATGACCCTCCAATTATGACCGAAGTGCATGTGTAAAGTTTCAAGTAAATATCTTTGAAGACCTTTAACCTTTAACCAAAATTTCTAAGTTTCAAAGGGGCAAATAATTCTGCAAATATTGCAGGCAGTCTAGTAATGCAATTTTGCAAACTGATGAACATTGTTACTATAAAAAAGTATTTTAAATTTCAATTGAATATCTCAAGCAATAATTGAGATATTTCACTTTACAAAAAAACTTCAACCAAAATTTCTAAGTTAAAAAGGGGCATAATTCTGTCAATATTGTAGGCAGAGTTATCCAACTTGTCAATTTGATGTACCTTGTTACTATAAATAAGTATTGTAAGTTTCAATTGAATATCTCAAGCAATAATTGAGATATTTCACTTTACAAAAAAACTTTAACCAAAATTTCTAAGTTAAAAAGGGGCATAATTCTGTCAATATTGTAGGCAGAGTTATCCAACTTGTCAATTTGATGTACCTTGTTACTATAAGTAAGTATTGTAAGTTTCAATTGAATATCTCAAGCAATAATTGAGATATTTCACTTTACAAAAACATTATAACCAAAATTTCTAAGTTAAAAAGGGGCATAATTCTGTCAATATTGTAGGCAGAGTTATCCAACTTGTCAATCTGATGTACCTTGTTACTATAAATAAGTATTGTAAGTTTCAATTGAATATCTCAAGTAATAATTGAGATATTTGACTTTACAAAAAACTTTAACCAACGCAGACGCCGACGCGGACGCTGACGCCGACGTCGGGGCGACTACAATAGCTCTCATATTCTTCGAATAGTCGAGCTAATAAAGTAAGATAATTTAAGTCGGAAAATTTTATATTATAAACTGTTAAACAGTGAAACGGGTGCCCTCCCCAAACTTTTCACAGTTAGGCCTAATTGGCGATAATCGTTGACATGCATTATACAAACATATGAACACCTGGTCAAGTGAATGTCAAGAGTTTAATTTACGATCTTAACTGAACTTTGAAATAAAAAAAACACTTTTTTTTTCAAATATTCGTATTCTTTTTTCAATCGGTAGTGTTTCAAATATTTGAATATAATTCCGGTCCTAAAAATAATATAATGTTCATTTCAACTCTGGAAGTAATTGTGAAGGAAATTCTCAAAATAATAAATCTTATATACCACTGAGTCTTTTCTTGTTAAGTGTTGCTGATAATCTACTCCATGTACTAGCCATCCTGTTGTTATTAATGTTACATGTACAGTCACACTAGCCTCTCAATTGTCTTGTATAAAACATCTAACAACATATTTATAAGATATGCTGTATGAAAGTATATCCTGACATCTGACACATTCAACTTGGATATAATCATTGTCCAAAAAGCACTCACCTGAGGACAGAATGGTATAACATTGTCTATAGTTATTAGATGGACAAAGTTTTATTTACTGTGAACTTTGACTGACTTAAGTTACCTCAAAATCAATAAGGGTCATTTTCTAGTCATGACTAACCTCCACACCAAATCTTACCACTGTAAAGACTTATGATTTTTTTAGATTTTTTAATGGTCTTCTAGGTATATAAAGAGAAAATATATGACCCAAACCCAAATTGGGCCAATTTTAACCTCAAAACAATAATTTTAAGGAGACCACTCGCTGCATGCAGTGTTAATGCTAGTCTGTAAAGGGCAACCACCATCAACAACCAATTTTTACAACTATTATCAGTTCAAAAGGGACATAACTCCTAAAAGTATTGCTTTCAGGATAATGTCACTTGTCTTGCAACTCTGCTTTGTCCTCATAATTAAGTCTTACAAGTTTAAAGTTGATAGCTTTGATAGTGTTGAACTTATCATGCTAATAATAAGCAACATTCAGCTAGAAAGGGGATAACTCTAAAAATATAGCTTTATCTTGTCATTCAACTGAGCCTTGTTATAACAAGTATTCCGAGATTTATGTTGATACTTTCATACTTTTCAAATGATGCTATTGAATAAGCAATTTAAGTTTAGCTTCTACAAATATATCTAAGTTTGATTGTGTTGAAAACTCACTAAGCTTATTGAAACACCTGTACCTGGAACCAATCATTACTAAGCAGTGAGTGTGAAAGTTCTTGCTCACTGAAACAACCACTTGCCTCTGACAGGGTCTTAGAAACCCGCAAGGCCAGCAATCGTAAATTACAAGTCTGAGGCATTAACCACTTGGCCATGCCACCTAAGGCAATTTTGACAAAAGACTAAAAAGGGGCATAACTCCATATTGTAGCTTTCAGAAAATGCATTTTTGTCTAACAACTGTTGATACCTTTCTTAGTTTTGAAAAAAATCTACTTAATAGGCATTTATGACATAAATTCCTTAGTTTAAAAGCTGCATAACAAAAATATTGTTTTCAGGGTAATGACCCTTGTTTTACAACTGTGCCATGTCATGATCATAAAGTTTCACTTCAGCACCTTTCATGGTTTTGAAATCATTCAGGTTATTAAGCAATTTCAACAAAAGTCTATGTTAAACATTAAAATTTTAATGCATCACAAAGGTATTGTCTGGATATTGCCCAGAGCATATCTACTCTATCCATATCTATAATGCCGACATCTCTGACAAAAGCTTTTATGCAACAATGTTGCCCTTGTTCACAAATGCAATCTTGTTTATTGCTAAAACAAATTTAAATTTTGGCGTATATTGCCCTTAAGTTGACATTTTCCCCACTTTTTCCCCGGAACTTTATTCGTTTTTACGAAATAATAAATCGTAATACGAAATATTTATTCCTTATAACAAAATGTTAATTCATTTTCACGAAATTTAAATTCGTTTTTACGAAATATTAATTCGTAATTACGAAATATTAGTTCGTTTTTACGAAATATTAATTCGTTTTAACGAAAAAATAATTTGTGTTTCAATCCCTCAATAAATGATGAACAAGAGCTGTCGGTAGGACAGCAACGCTCGACTATTCTTAGTGCTTGATAGTAAAAAAAATGCTTGATAGAGTTACCTCCTCCTGTTTACAGGTTGGGGTCATGATGGTGAACAAGTGTGCAAAGTTTCAAAGCCATATGTCAATGGACTTTGAAAATATTTGAACTATTACAAAAACTTTAACGTAAATTCTAAGTCGAAAAAGGGGCATAATTCTGTCAAAATGCTTGATAGAGTTACCTCCTCCTGTTTACAGGTTGGGGTCATGATGGTGAACAAGTGTGCAAAGTTTCAAAGCCATATGTCAATGGACTTTGAAAATATTTGAACTATTACAAAAACTTTAACGTAAATTCTAAGTCGAAAAAGGGGCATAATTCTGTCAAAATGCTTGATAGAGTTACCTCCTCCTGTTTACAGGTTGGGGTCATGATGGTGAACAAGTGTGCAAAGTTTCAAAGCCATATGTCAATGGACTTTGAAAATATTTGAACTATTACAAAAACTTTAACGTAAATTCTAAGTCGAAAAAGGGGCATAATTCTGTCAAAATGCTTGATAGAGTTACCTCCTCCTGTCTACAGGTTGGGGTCATGATGGTGAACAAGTGTGCAAAGTTTCAAAGCCATATGTCTATGGACTTTGAAAATATTTGAACTATTACAAAAACTTTAACGTAAATTCTAAGTCGAAAAAGGGGCATAATTCTGTCAAAATGCTTGATAGAGTTACCTCCTCCTGTCTACAGGTTGGGGTCATGATGGTGAACAAGTGTGCAAAGTTTCAAAGCCATATGTCTATGGACTTTGAAAATATTTGAACTATTACAAAAACTTTAACATAAGTGGTTACGCCGACGCCGACGCCGACGCTCGGGTGACTGCAATAGCTCTACTTATTCTTATCGAATAGTCGAGCTAATAAATTAATGGTCTGAATACACATTTTCATATTTTTATCTGAACTTTGACCCTTTTCAGTGACCTTAACCACAGGGACCTAAACTTTTGTGCCAAGTACTGAAATCCCTCTAAGCATGTAGAAGTTTTGCTCCAAACAAGCATTTTTCAATGACCTCTAAGTTTGACCTTGACCTTTGCCCAAGAGACCTGGGTTCATGTGCATGACACTGCTTCTCATAGTGGTGAACATTCCTGTAAAGTTTCATTAGAATCCCTCCATATGTGTAGAAGATATGCTCCAGGCAAAATTGGACTTCGCCTACCTGCCCACCCGCCTGCCGCTAGACCGCCCTCCAGGGGGGAACAATAAGACTGTTCTTCAAACAGGCGTATAAAAATGCTATGCCACTGTTTAATACAACACTAAATAGTAGTGTAGGAACATGAGATTTTGCCATAATGTATTTAGGTCTAGTGAATTTGGTGGTCAAGGTCATATTTGATATGGCCTAAATTTTATGACTGTACATCAAAGGACAAGACAGTAAATCACTTTATCAAAATCTAGGTCAGCTGATATCAAAGTTAAATTTACATCATGGTTCAAATTTCATAGCTATACATCAAAGGACAAGAAAGTAGGTCAGCTGATATGAAAGTTCAATATTACATCTAAAACAGTGCACATGGATCAAATATCAAAGGACAAGACAAAAGGTCAATGTCAAAATCTAGGTCAGCTGATATCTAAATTCATTTTTACATCTCAAACTGTGCACATGTTCCATGCCTGTACATCAAAGGACAATAAAGGCCTCTGTCCCCTTGGGCAGGGCAAAATTTTGACCCAAGGGTTTAATTTAAACAATCTTGATACAGGTCCACCAGACAATGTTTCATGTCAAATATCTAAGCTGTAACTTTCTCCTATTCAAGAAACATTTGTTTTAGATTCTGTTTTTACATAATGAATATCAATGACCCCTAAGGCTGGGCCAAATTTGACCACGGGCTATAATTTGAACATCTTACATGTAGAAATGAGAGAATTAATGCACAAGATCGAGTAGATCTGTAAGATTCAATGAATTTAGACAGATAAAATATTATATAAAGGGAGATAATTAAATTCAATAAAGTTTTACTTTCCCCTACATGGGATCTGAGATAAAGATACAAGTGCGCAGATAAATTATTATAGAAATGAGAGAATACCACCAAATTGATATGCCAATCAGATTACGGCATAGCACCTAGAAGAACAGCCGTGAAAGCAAAGCCACTGCAAATCCACCATCACAAACACAATAATGATGGTTTCAGTACAGCTTTATATACTGTCACAAACTATATATATATATATATATGCCAATGATTGGCATATATAAAAGGAAACCTATGACCCCCCCCCCCCCCAGGGCTGGGCAAAATTTTACATGAAATTTGACACTATCATGTGCTCAGGTGAGCTAATAATATAAAATAACATGAAATTATAAATATCTTTTAACTCATATACATTATAAATTTTGCACTGGTACAGATTAAACTTATATATCCAATTTGCCAGAATAGCTTGAACATTTCTATTTTTTAAGTGTAAAAAGGGAAATAGCTATGGTAAAAATGTCGCAGTTTTGTAAGTGCATTAAACATAGAGCCATTGGTACACACAGAACTTAAAACATATCCAACGGATGACAGAATAGTTTCAACTAGAACTGCCACTGTCAGCTTTGTCTGAATCCACAGTGGTAATTTAGAGCTTAAGGACAATCTCCCTAGTAGTGTTTTTAGTGGCAAAGATCAAAGTGACCTTTACCTTTGACCTACTGACCTCAAAACTGAAAAAGCCACTGCATGACTTGAACATAATTACATGTATATGCTTCAAATGTGAAAATGTCAAAATCAATACACTGTGGACAGGCATTCTTAAGCATTTGAGCACACAAGCTTATTGTACTTAATTGCCTGTGACCTTAACCTTTGACACTTTAAAAATCAATAGTGGTCATCTACTAGTCATAACAAATCTCAATACCAAATATGAAGTCTGTTGACCAAAGCATTCTTAAGCAACTGAGCAGACAAGTTTTTTTAACTAAAGGCCCCTGTGACCTTGACCTTTGACACAGTGACTTGAAAATCAATAGTGGATGACCAACCTCCATGCCAAGTATGAAGACTGTGGGTCAAAGGATTCTTAAGTTATTGGGCAGACAAGCTTTTCTTTAGTCAAGGCCCATGTGACCTTTGACCCAGTGACCTGAAAATCAATAGGGGTCATTTAATAATCATGAATTACCTCCATGCCAAATATGAAGACTGGATCAAAGGATTTTTAAGTAATTGGGCGTACAAGCTTTTTTAGTCAATGCCCCTGTGACCTTGACCTTTGACCTACTGACCTCAATATCAATAAGGGTCGTCTACTAATCATGACCAATCTCAAAACCAAATATGAAGACTGTGCGCCAAAGGATTATTAAGTTATTGGGCGGAAAAGGAAAAACAAACGAACAGACAGACGAACAAGCTGATTCCAGTAACCCCCCCTTACAACTTTGTTGTGTGGGGGTATAATTACTATATGCCCATGCAAGGATTTTTCAAAAATTGATATGAAGCAATATTCAGCTTCGTACAAGTTACATTTTATCTTCAATCCAAGAAAATACGGAATCAGTCATAGGTAACAGACATAAATGCAACCCTTGATTCCGTAACAGTATTTTTTCACTGATTTTATTCCATTTTTTCCTTTAATTTTTATTCATAGAAACACAACATTTCTTAAAAATAGAATTAAATCACAAAAACTCTGGCCATTATTTTCAATAATTTCCTCCTTAGTCAGTTAAGTATGCAATTATCAACTAAAACAATGTGCCAAGTAAAACCTAAGCTTAGTTATAAAAATATTTCCTTGTTTATTAGTGGCTTTTCCTGTTGTACTTATCAACAAGAGCCATTGCCGGGAGAGCGCAATGCTCGACTAATTTACTTTTTCTAAAAGAAAACAAATAAATGGTATAAACAAATGTTTAAAAAGAAAATTAAAGAAAAAAACAAAATTGCATTTGTGAAAAAATGATGTCGCCGCTTTAATACAACACTAATAGAAGAAATAGAAGTAGTTTTTTTTTTTTCTATACAATTGAATTTGCCATAATGCAGTAGTGTCTAGAGAATTTTTGTGTCAAGGTCATATTTCAGCATGTGAAATGAAAGACAATGTTTGTGTTTGTTTGTTTGTTTCATTTTACGCCTTTTCCCAACAGTATTTCAGTCATTTAGGCAGGTAGTTTCCTAACCATCGTTCCTGGAGAGTTACACCAGTACTAGACTACCTTCCTCCGCGCTAAACTACCAAAGCATCTCCCGGGGATCGAACCCACGCCAGAGAGGTAACTGGATTAGAAGTCATCAACTCTAACCCCTCGACCACGGAGGCGGTTGAAAGACAATGTCCACATATGCCTAATGATCAGACATAAAGGCCATAACATGTCAAGATTTTGACACTGGATTATTGGATAAACAAAACTACTGTAGGAGTAATATTACTTTGATACTTTTTTTAAAATTGATAAGCCGCTCATGTTGCATACCAAATATCAAGGGTCTTCACCTTGTGAATTTTGCCAAGAAGATTTTTAAATATTTCCCTATATAACTTTATATAAAACTGAGGAGGCCCCAGTGGCGGGTCCCTTTTGACCCTAGGGGCATAATTGAAACAATTTTTGTAGCGGACCAGTAGATCATGTTACATACGAAATATCAAAGCTGTATAAGCCTTGTGTTTATGACAAGAATGATTTTTTTAAATCGATAAGCCTTCTGGCGGAGCCCCTTTTCATCCTAGAGGCATAACTTGATCAATCTCTGAAGAGGACAATTAGATCATGTTACATACCAAAATCAAGGATTTATGCCTTGTGGTTTTTGACAAAAAATTTTTTTAAGATTTTCTTATATAACTTTATATAAAATTGATGTGCCCCCTGGCGGAGCCACTTTTGACCCTAAGGGAAGAATTTAAACAATATTTGTAGAGGACTACTAGATCACGTTACATGCCAAATATCAAAGCTGTAGGCCTTGTCTGGTTTTTGATGAGGAGATTCTAAAAAAAACAAGATATGTTTGTAAAACATGTATGCTCCCTATCGGCAACAATTAGTCATGTGATCAGGTTATTATGACTGACTTTTGACCTAGTGAACAAAAAGTCAATAAGGGTTATCTACTGGTCATGACTAGTCACTAGGTAATAATTATTGAGACCGCATAGGTTGTAAGCAGCAATTTTATGACAAAAGTTATTACAAATCTTACCAAATAATATATGCATAAATTTTATGAATCATGTAGGCTTCATTAATGACAGCCAAGTTGTTATATAACATAAGACCCTCAAATACGAAAAAGCATTTTTAGTTTGATATAGAAATATCAACCAAGGCAACTTGAGTTGTTGAGTTATTGGTAAGTACAAGGTCAATACGACACTGACCCCCTGACCCCAAAATCAACTAGAACTATCACTAAATGTGATTAATACCCCCACAAGACTGCTTCGGAAATGAGGATGTTACTAGTAACAGAATACCTTGTAAAAGAATTGAAATATAGAGTTATGGTTGTGGGCAATTAAAGATAGTTGTGGTTCTTATATGTTGCATTTCCTTTCAATGTGGTTGGCCATTGATGAAGTTTAATTGAATTACTCTGTAATAAGTTCAGAAAGACAAAGAAAAGGAACAAAGGGCAATTACTCTATAAATACTGAAGATAGAGTTATAGTTCTTGTGCAATGCACTTCCTCTTATTGTGCTTGACCATTGTATGAAGTTGTTTTGAATTCCAACCAGTACATTTTAAGTTATGCTCCTGACAAGGAAAAGTATCAAAGGGCAGTAACTCTGTATTTTGTCAAAATGGAGTTATGGCTCTTGTGCACTGCACTTCCTTTTAATGTCCTTGACAACTGTATGAAGTTGTATTGAATTCCAACCAGTAGTTTTCAAGTTATGCTCTGGACAAGGAAAAGTAACAAAGGGCAATAACTCTGTAATTAGTCAAGATGGAGTTTGAGGGCCAGCAGCTATGGTTCTTGTGCACTTCACTTTCTCTCAATGTGCTTGACCATTGTATGAAGTTATATTGAATTCCAACTATTAGTCTTCAAGTTATGGTTCGGACAAAAAAGGCAATGGAAAAGTAACAAAGGGCAATAACTCTGTAATTACTTTAGATAGAGTTATGGTTCTTGTGCACTGCACTTCCCCTTATTGTGTTTGACAATTGTATGAAGTTGTTTTGAATTCCATCCAGTTGTTTTCAAGTTATGCCCTGGACAAGGAAAAGTAACAAAGGGCAATAACTCTGTAATTAGTCAAGATAGAGTTATGGTTCTTGTGCACTGCACTTCCTCTCAATGTGCTTGACCATTGTATGTAGTTATATTGAATTCAAACTATTAGTCTTCAAGTTATGGTCCGGACAAAAAAAAAGCAATGGAAAAGCAACAAAGGGCAATAACTCTGTAATTACTTTAGATAGAGTTATGGTTCTTGTGCACTGCACTTCCCCTTATTGTGTTTGACAATTGTATGAAGTTGTTTTGAATTCCAACCAGTAGTTTTCAAGTTATGCCCCGGACAAGGAAAAGTAACAAAGGGCAATAACTCTGTAATTAGTAAAGATAGAGTTATGGTTCTTGTGCACTGCACTTCCTCTCAATGTGCTTGACCATTGTATGTAGTTATATTGAATTCCAACCATTAGTCTTCAAGTTATGCTCCGGACAAGGAAAATGCAACGGACGTCTGGACAGACCGACCACCGGGTGACTCCTATATACCCCCCCAAACTTCGTTTTTGGGGGTATAATAAGTGTCATCAACTGGCCAAGACTAATGCACCTACAAAGTTTGAGGGCCAGCAGCTATGGGCTTGTCAAGTTATTGATCGGAAACCGTTTTCACCTAAAAGGTTAATATGACCTTGACCTTTGACCTATTGACCCCAAAATCAATAGGGGTCATCTAATTGTCAAGTCAAATTCGCCTACCAAGTTTGAGGGCCAACAGCTGGGTTGTCAAGTTACTGATTGTCGACCGTTTTTACCAACAAGATAAATATAACCTTGACCTTTGACCCCTTGACCCCAAAATCAATAGGGGTCATCTACTGGTCATGAGCAATCATTATACCAAGTTTGAAGTTCCTAGGCCTAAGGGTTCTTTAGTTATTGATAAGTAACCATTTTTACCTACAAGGTCAATGTGACCTTGACCTTTGACCCCTTGACCCAAAAATTAATAGGGGTCATCTGCTGGTCATGAACAATCATCATACCAAGTTTGAAGTTCCTAGACCTAAGCGTTCTTTAGTTATTGATCGGAAACCGTTTTTTACCTACAAAGTCAATGTGACCTTGACCTTTGACCCCTTGACCCACAAATAAATAGGAGTCATCTACTGGTCATTAGCAATCATCATACCAAGTTTGAAGTTCCTAGGCCTAAGTCTTCTTTAGTTAATGATCGGAAACCGTTTTTACCTACAAGGTCAATGTGACCTTGACCTTTGACCTCTTGACCCCAAAATCTATAGGGGTCATCTGCTGGTCATGAACAATCATCATACCAAGTTTGAAGTTACTAGACCTAAGCTTTCTTTATTTATTGATCGGAAACCGTTTTTTACCTACAAAGTCAATGTGACCTTGACCTTTGACCCCTTGACCCACAAATAAATAGGAGTCATCTACTGGTCATTAGCAATCATCATACCAAGTTTGAAGTTCCTAGGCCTAAGTCTTTTTTAGTTAATGATCAGATACCGTTTTTACCTACAAGGTCAATGTGACCTTGACCTTTGACCTCTTGACACCAAAATCAATAAGGGTCATCTGCTGGTCATGAGCAATCATCATACCAAGTTTGAAGTTCCTAGGCCTAATTGTTCTTTAGTTATTGATCGGAAACCGTTTTTTACCTACAAGGTCAATGTGACCTTGACCATTGACCCCTACCCCAAAATCAATAGGGTCATCTTCTGGTCATGACCAATCTTACCAAGTTTGAAGTTCCTAGGCCTAAGCGTTCTTTAGTTATCATTTTGGAAACCATGTGGTTTACGGACCGACGGACTGATAGACCAACCGACAGACAAATGCAAAGCAATATATATTGTAACCCCCTCTTCTTTGAAGTGGGGGCATAAAATATTCTTAAGAGCTGTCGGTAGGACAGCAACGCTCGACTATTCTTAGTGCTTGATAGTAAAAAAAAATGCTTGATACAGTTACCTCCTCCTGTTTACAGGTTGGGGTCATGATGGTGAACAAGTGTGCAAAGTTTCAAAGCCATATGTCAATGGACTTTGAAAATATTTGAACTATTACAAAAACTTTAACGTAAATTCTAAGTCGAAAAAAGGGGCATAATTCTGTCAAAATGCTTGATAGAGTTACCTCCTCCTGTCTACAGGTTGGGGTCATGATGGTCAACAAGTGTGCAAAGTTTCAAAGCCATATGTCAATGGACTTTGAAAATATTTGAACTATTACAAAAACTTAACGTAAATTCTAAGTCGAAAAAGGGGCATAATTCTGTCAAAATGCTTGATACAGTTACCTCCTCCTGTCTACAGGTTGGGGTCATGATGGTGAACAGGTGTGCAAAGTTTCAAAGCCATATGTCAATGGACTTTGAAAATATTTGAGGTATTACAAAAACTTTAACATAAATTCTAAGTTGAAAAGGGGGCATTATTCTGTCAAAATGCTTGATAGAGTTACCTCCTCCTGTCTACAGGTTGGGGTCATGATGGTGAACAAGTGTGCAAAGTTTCAAAGCC